TCAGACAAGGCCGAGTACACGCTGCCAGAGAACGCAAGGCAATAAAAGAAGGTGCAGTCCTCCATCTTACTGAGTAGTGGCCGCTGGAGTGGCCCCCCCGAGATGGGGGCTGGGGGTCAGGAGCTTGTCCAAGCCATTGAAGAGAGGACTGATTCAGCATGTCTGAGCCTCCTGGTGCAGTTTCCCGCCATGACAGGCCTGGGCACCCAGGGACTGGCGGGTATCACACCTTGTAAGAGAATGCAGGAACAACACAGTCCATTTATCCACCATCGCCCCTCCCCAGGATTTGGAGAAGAAGATACTCCCCGAGCTATGGAAACCCACACCAGTGGCTGCTTGTTGGGATTTGATTATTAAGCTCACCAGCCCAATCCTCGCAGCGACTGCAGGCAGAACAATGAACTATTGAAGCCTGGCCGAGGCCTGGCCTCCACAGACCCTCTCCCGCTGGGGCTTAGACGAGAAGGGTGGGCACCTGGGCAGCGGTAGCAACCCTGGGCCCTGGCTGGACCACCATATTCTGAAGGGTTGTCCTTGGCGTCCGGGCATCCTTCTTCTCCCTCACTAGGTGGGCACCTGAGGAAAAAACATCGATGGGCTCTCCTCTCCTCACAGACTTGTCTGCCTCGTCTTCAGACTCCTTGTGGCTCAGGCTTAATCATGTCAACTTCGGGGACATTTTTGCAGGTGAAAATTCTTCCAATAGGCTGAAGACACACCAGGAATGTCTGTTCCGTCACTGCTCGGTGCTGCCTGCGTGTCTCACTAAACTCCCGAAACCACAATAACAAACTCACAGCCACGGGGTCGATTCCCACTCCGCAACCCTCTGGGATGGGTCCACCTGGTCCTGTACACTTCCAAGATGTCCATTGTGAGGGAGCAGAATCCTTCATCTTTCTGCTGTAGAACAGCTGGGAGCGCCAAGCTGTTGCTCAACAGGAACCACTACCCTACAGGGAAGGGGCTCCTTCCCTAGAAGAAGGGGGCTTGTGCGCGGTATCCCCTCTGCCCATGTTCTCGGGCCACCTTTGGGGAGTCCTGGTGGACCGGTGGCCACTGGTGAGGACCAGGAATTGGACCAGCTGGCTCTTGACACCCTGTCCCTCCCTGCAGCTGTTACGTCAGGAGGTAAGGGCTCCGTTTTATTCCCAAGCATTTGGTGTTATTTGATCATTGGTTATAAGCCTAAAAGATCTCAATTTTATTTATTTATTTTAAAAAGCTCAACTTCATGGACCTAGGAGGCCCGCTTCTTGTCCCATGAAATTCTAGAGGCTGGAGTTGGTAGCCGCCACCACCACTGACTTTGAATTTCCTGCCAGGGGGAAGTCAAGCGGGCCAAGCCAGCAGCTAGAAGGCCTAGCTGTTTTCTAAGCTCCCCCAGACTCCCCAGGGCTGGATTTCCACCCTTGGGTGCCAACCCACTGCCTGTCCCGGGTGTCCTTGAGGATGGGCAGTTGTCTGCAGCCTGCTCAGGACGGAGACCCCGATTGGCCACTCAGACAGCGCTGGGAAGGCCTTGGACCCCGACTTGGATTTCAGGATTAGGGAAACTTGAGCCCCATAAACCACAGTGGGGCTGGGATTAGGTGGGCTCAGGCCTGGAGTGCTTTACTGGGCCCAGCAGGGCCAATGCTGGTGGCCTCCTTGGTACTCTCAGTCACAGGTGTTTGGCTTGAACCCAGGATGTACAAGGCAATGGGATAGGCAGGTGGCAGGGCCAGAAACCCAAGAGCTTGCTGGGGGCTGGGCTGCCAGTAAGGGCTGGCAGAAGGGGCACCTTGCATGCATGAGGACGTGGGGAGAAGTGAGGGTAGGCCGGTCAGCCTGCTGGGAGTGGGCCTGTCACCTTTCAGCCATGTTCACTCAAAGCAAGAAGCAAAGTCTGGAAAATGGGCCCACAGTGCCGCCCCCACCCCCACCCCCACCCCCCACCGCCCTCAGCTACAGCACAGGGGACACGGTCTCAGGACAGTGTGTGTGGAAAATGCTAACGCCCTAAATCCTCAGCATCCTGCCAGTATGCAGGGAAGTATGCAGTTCTACTTCATACAGACCCGATATAGGGTTTTCCATAGGCATTCTGATGTCATAGTGGGTTATACATTGAGCTGCTCACTTCAAGGTCAGAAATTTTAAACCCACCAGGCGCCCTGCAAGAGAAAGAGGCAGCTTTCTGCCCCCATAAAGAATCACAGCCTTTATTGGGGGGTGAGGTAGAAGGTAACTAATGTCAAGGGAGGAGTTCAAGAAAGAAGAGAATGTTTTGAAACTAATCGTGGTAGCAATTTTACAATACTGCTTGATGTGATTGAATTATGGAATGATATGCTTGCTATCTGTATTAGCTCCCAATAAAATGCTTTTGAAAAGAAAAAGAAGTACAGCCTTGGAACCCACAGGGGCAGTGCTACTGTCCTACAAGGCTGCCGTGAGTCAGAATTGACCTGATGGCAGTGAGTGGGGTCTACGTGGTTTCTAAGACTGTGAATCTTTACAGGAGCAGACAGCTTCATCTTTCTCCCACGGGGCGGTGGCCTCCCCAGCTTCCTGCTGCACCAGGTCAGGGCAACGGGGTCCTTGAGTGGGCTTGGTGGGGGCTGCAGCCTGAGCTCTTTTGAGTGTTGTGACCTGGCTGTAGGCCTCCTCCCCAAGAGACTTTATCATGCCCATGGCAACCCCCTTGGGCTCTTGTGACCTCACCTTCCAGGCCACGGGGAGGCAGTGAATGCCTTGCCATAAAAGGCCGGGAAAGGATGGCCAAGTGGCAGCAGACAGGAGGGCCGCCCTGCCCAAGCTTGAGGCTGAGGGAGGGAGTGACTGGGTCCCAGTGACTCCTCCCTTCTCCCGCCCTTTTTCCCTCCCAGGCTCTCCACACCATTGCACAACCAGGAGCTACAGCACAGTGTGGCAGGAAAACACCACGGGGGAAACTGTACTGAACAGTCCAAGGAATTAAAATCAAATTTTCATTGCCCCATAAAAACAGACCGGGGCGGACATGGCCTATAATTCCTGCCCCCACCAACCTCATACCTATTCAGGATTCTAGCAACACACACCCACTTCGTGCCAGGGCCAGGCCCACTCCCACAGCCTTCCCCAGATGCTCCGAATCAACTTGCTGCACGTGTCGAGCCCTTGGGCCAAGGGCTGCAATGGATGACTGGGAAACTGCCTGTTTGCAGAGCCCCAGCTTCTTATCCATCCCCGTGGCTGTCTGCTGGCAGAAGTCCCATGGCCACAGTATAGCACCAGGTGCAGGGGCCTGTGGGGTGTCCGTGTCTGTGGGGCCTCCTGGGACTGGTCCAGTCAGTCAGAACTAACAAGATCTGACCCCAAGAGCAGCCCAGGCAGTACACTGGGTAGGCTGGACTCCCTGCAGTCTCTCACCTGCTCACCATCCATAGGACAGGAGTGGACCCTCAGGGCTGCCTGGTGGCAGGTGGGAGCAGGGGACATCCTGCACAGGCCTTGGGGCCACCAGTGAGCACCTGTAGCTGTGGCGGGTGTGTGGTGTCTGTGGGCCCCACAGAGTTTGGTAGTGATCAGCGGGCAGCCCACGGGCCTCTTGTCCCCTCCTGAACCACAATACAGATGTGTGGTACGAGCCCCATTAGGAGAGAAAGGGGACCTACAGAGCAAGCCACCATGGGGACATTCATTGGGCAGCACTATGAGCCATTGGAAGGCCACTGGTAGCACCGTGAGTTAAGCAGTGGGCTGCTAAAAGGAAGGTCAGCAGGTTGAGTCTACCAGCCACTCTGAGGGAGGGAGGAAGGCGAGGCTGTCCGCTTTCATAGAGTTGGCAAGGGGTACTGAGGGGTCCCGAGTGCAGCGGAGACTCTGTGGGGACAGGGGCAGGGAAGGGACCCGACTCTGGCCATGGGGGTTGAGTTGCAGGGATGAAGGTGAGAGCAGGAACCCACCCCCAAGGAACCCAGCAAGGGGTGCTGGGGCTACACTAGGACCGAGGTCCAGGGTAGGTGGACGGCAACTCTGACCCCTGCCTCCTCATGGGTGATTATTTTTCCCATGGATGCGGCACTACCCCTCCCCCCGCCTCAGATTTTTGGCCTGCATATCAAGCTACAGGAGTGCTGGTGGTGTCCTGGGTTAAGCATTTGGCTGCTGTTGGCTGTTCAGACCTACCTGCGGCCCTGAGGATGAAGGCCAAGGTTGTCTCCTCTATAAAGACTGGCAGCCTTCCAAACCCTATGGAGCAGCTGGACTGTGTCCCAGAGGGCCGCTGCAAGCTGAATCGAGTCAGTAGGAGGGCCAGCAGGATTGGCAGGGAGGCCTTACCACAGGACCTGTCCTGCCTGGACAATCCTTGTACAACATTTGGGTACTATTTAGGAACCCCAAAGAGCCACTTTCAAGCTCCTCCCTGTGGCCTGGGCAAGGGCTGCTCCCAGGGCCAGACAGGCCAGCGTGGTACCTCCTGTGGGTTTCAGGGGAGCCCGTCCTCCTGTTTCCCTGGGAGCCCACTGCAGGGTCGGCAACCAGGCCTTGCCCGTGCCTTGGCTGGGCGGGCAGCACTTGTTGAGGGCAGCAGGCCTGCAACACTTGGTACCTTAATGGGGAGTCAGAGACTCTGCACCCACTTTGCACCCGCCCTCACCAGGCTTTGCTCGGCCCATTAAGGTAGAGAGCCGTGCCTTTGTTCCCTGACAAGCAGGGTCCCATCCTCGGCTCCTGGGGCAGCTGCCCGAGTGCTGTTTTCTTAAGGAAGACATGCGATTAGCTGCCGCAAAGCCTGGCACAATGAGGGCCTGTCAGGGCTCCTGCGAGGTGACTGACTGATGGCTACGCCCCCTGATGTGGAGCCTCAGTGTGGGGATTAGTTTGAGCGCAGCCTGACTTGAGGCCACAGGGAGGTGTCGAGAGAGGCCCCAAGTGCCACCAAGCCCAGGGTGGTGCTGGGGACCCACTGGCCCAGGTATCCCCCACCTACTCCATCTGGGACAACACAGGCAAGGTGTACACACGTCTGGGGTGGGGGAGAGAAACCCTCTTTATTTGCACTCCAGAAACGTCAGGGGGCTCAGACATGGGCAGCCCACGGGCTGGGTTTCTGCACATGTCTTCATCATCTGGCGCTGAGGTGGGGGCAAGGGGATGCTGAATTGCCCCAATCGGGAGAGGGCCAGGGAGTTGGTGGGGGGCAGAGAGCCCCACTTGAGCCATCTCTGCAGGGCACTTGGGCAGGCTGTGTAGACATGGCCGAAACACCACACTGGCCCAGGCTTGGCCTTCCTTTCTGCATGGACACCAAGTCAGGGCAGGTCCCGCTGCCGATCTGCAGGTGCACAGTGGGGTCAGAAGCCTAGCGGCCACACCCACCACCCCATGTCTTGCCCTGGGCCACGGGGGCAGGCACCCCACCCTTCCTCCCTTGCCTCTGCCCCTCGGGCAGGTAGATGCGTCACTGGGCACTGCTATAAAAATATTTTGAAACGATAAAAATTTATAGCAAGCTTTTTCCCCCCCAGGGCTCTTAACAAAACAGCTCTGCCAGGCTGGATTTTGCAGATAAGAGCTTCCTCAGCATGCCCCTTTGTTTCTCTGTATCCTAGGCAGCCTCGCTCCCAGGGCTGGGGTGGGACAAGGCCCCCCAGGACCCACCCGGGCCCCTCTGCTCAGCCGGTTCTGTATGTGATGGTAGTGGGAGCAGGGGGTGCCCAGGGAGGGGCCGAGAGCCCTGGCTGACAGACTCGAAAGAGGGGACCATTCCAAGAGGACACAGAGGGCGGCGCTTGCCATGCTGTCCTCCTCAGGAGAGGGTTTGATGTGAACAACCCCCCCTCCCTGGGCCTCCCAGCCACCACTCAGCCGCCTGGCTTGTGAAAAGCTGTAGCAGAACCAGATGTGTGGCCATGCCAGCACGTGCGTGAGCCGGCGTCTCCACCTTCTGGGCAGGAAAGAAACAGGAGCCTCGTTCTGCTCTGCACCCAGGCAGGGCCAGCTGTAAGGCACGGCCCACCTGCAGCCCTCGGTGCTCAGCCACCCTGAGCCTGACCAGAGGGCCCCTGCCTGGGAGCAGGCATGCTGCCGATGGCAGAGCCCCGGCACTGAAGGACAAGGCTCAACCCTGCTCCTCAGCCTCTGCGGGCTGGGCCCAGGGCTCAGCGGTGGCCTGTGCACTCCCTTCTCAGACACAGAGACTTCCACACACATTTACCTGCATCCGGGACTCTGTGAAGCCTGGCAGCAGTGATGACGGCCATAGCGTGTGCTGTGGTGTGGTGATGTGCGCTGTGCCCGGCCCTGCAGATATGGCAGCTTACCCTCAGCAACCGGTCACAGTGGGATCCAGGCCTGAGCGCTTGGAGATGTGCAGCCTGGGCACCTCCTCAGCACAGGTTGGGTGGATACCCACAGTCCGCCTTATCTGCTCGTATGACGCCCCGCACCTGGACCAAGACACAGGGCAGGAGTGGGCCCAAGGAAGGGGCATGTACCTCCCACGTCTCCAGAAGGTGGCATCTGTGGTGCCGTGGGTATGACTAGGTCTCCCCACTGCCCACACCCCACCTGCCCCATGTTCCAACCAGCAGCCAGGAACACCTGTCGCATCTGTCAGGCTGCCCCAGCTCCCTCTAAGAAATCGTTGCCCTGTCCCACCCAGAAAGGAGCATGGGTAGGCTGTACAGAGCAGCCTCCAGGCCCAGCTGCCTGGCCTGGCCTGGCCTCCCCTGTGAACTGAACGACCCCATCCCTCAGGGTCCCTGGCCCAGCCTCCTTGGCCCTTGTGAACTGGCCCCCATCAAGCTCCCCAGTTTAGCTGCCCTGGACCTTCTGTTTGTGGGTTCTCCAGATGCCTGCACATGCGGGTGGACACCCATAGCAACCACCCACCTGCTCTTTACCTCCTCAGGGGTTACAGTACACGGTGCCCTGGCTGGTTGCACCCAGGCCCCAAGAGAGCTCCAATGATGGCAGGTCCATTCTTGGTTATTATAGACAGGCTGAGACCAACGCCAATGCAGCAGTGTGCTGAGGTCAGGGGGTAGGGGGTGGACAAATCCCAGGGGTGAACGAGCGTGCCTGTGTTTTCAATGTGGCTGGAGGAGGGCCGCTCCAATTTGCTCCTCTTTTCCTGACAGTGTCTTCAAGCCCTCGGTGTTTCCCGGGTGGCAAACCGTCACCCCCGATCACTGTCAAGGGTCCTGGTGGCTAAGCACTGGGTTGTTAACTGAAAAATCAGAGGTTCAAAGCCACCATTTGCTCCGTGGGAGATGAGGCTGTCAGCTCCCATGAAGCTCGACAGTCTTGGAGCCGACAGGAGTGGGAATGAACTCGATGGCAGTGGGGCTGGTGGTGGGTGCTGCTTAGACGCTGTCAGGCCTTTACACTCTCCCCAAGCAAACTGCTTTCTCGGGGTCTCCTCGCCATTGTAAGCTTCTGAACAAGACAAAACGGCTCCCTACGATTTCTTTCTTCTTGCCTATCTGTGCCCTCACTTTTTCTACAGGGGTGACCATCTTATTATCGTCGTTGTTGTTTATCAGTGTTCTTTGTATAATAAAGCAACCAGTACATCTTATTATTCTTGTTGCTGATTTATCAGAGTTCTTTGTTTAATAAAGCAACCAGTGCTTGGCTGCTATTGCATTAGGAAAATAAATCCTAACAAAGATACATAAATTAACCTATAGAGAACCTAAAACCCACTGCTACAGAGTCAATTCCAACTCATTGAGACCCTGGATAGTGGTTTCATGGCTGAAAGTCTTTACCGGAGCAGACAGCCTCTTCTTCCTCCCTCGGAGCAGTGGGTGGGTGTCACCACTGGCCTTTCGGTTAGCAGCCCAACACTGAACAGACCATGCCAGCCAGGCTTCTTCTAAAAAGAGGCTGCCACCTTTTAAAGCGCCTGTCCAGAGACTCAGAGGCCTGCTGGTATGGTAGCTGGGCATTGAATTTCTAATTCAAAGATCAGCTGTTTAAACCTACCTGCTGCACCAGGCTAGAAAGGTGAGGCTGTCTGCTCCCATAAAGACTGACAGTCTCAGAAGCTCTAGAAAGTAGCTTACCCTGTACTGCAAGGTTGCTTTGAGTCAGAATTGATTCAACATGACCAGGTTCCGTTTCTGTTTTGTTGTTTGTTTTTCCAGAAGAGTATCTGCTGGCAACAACATTTGCATGTTGGGTATGGATGGAGATGGCCTGTGGGCAGGCCAGGCAGCATCACCCTATGAGCCACCGTTTTAAGGAACCCCCACTGCCATCAAGCCGATTCGCACTCCTGGAAACTCTAAAGGACAGACTAGAACTGCTCCCCGGAGTTTCCAAGACAGCCAATCTTTACAGAAGCAGACAGCCTCATCTTTCTCCCAAAGCGCAGCTGGTGCATTTGAACTGCTGACCTTACAGTTAGGGTTAGCAACCCAAAGAGTAGCTCACAGCATAACCAGGCCCTTTCAAATACGACAGCCTCATTTTATAATGCAACAATAAAGGGCAGGTTTCCTTAGTATGCAAAGAGCTCTTATGAATCATTAACAACAGTAATAAGGTGACCAACCTCATAGAAAAATTGAGGACATGGATGGGCAATTCACAGGAAAAGGAAGTAAGAATCAATAGCAGAAAACTATTGGACCTCATTCAGAATTTTAAAATGTAACGGCAACACCTGGAAACCAATTCAGTTGGTGAGAGTTTAAAAGTTTGACAACATTGAATCAATCTCCTCATTCCCAGGCCACATTCCCAAGCCCTTTCACAGGCTCCAGGCAGGACTATGGACAGGGCCCACATCCACATCAGCCTTAGGCCATCCTTGCCGGGCCACTTCCAAAGGATGGCTTTGGCCCGGCGGACACTGTGGTGAGACCCCACTGGGATTTCAGACGCACACTCAGAAGAAGGGAACCCAGCTCAGGCCTTGTCTCCTCGTCCTCATGTTCCTTGCTCTCTTCTGTGGCCCTGGAGTAGGGAGGGCTGGACACCAGAGCCCACCCCCACTTCCACCTCCCAAGGCTGGCTCTCAGCCATACCCACTCTCAGGAACCCTGGGCCCAAGCTGTCTGCACACCCTCCACAACATGGCAGCCACTTTCTCTTGCCTGCATCTCCACGTAGCACCTGGCTGGATCCAGCTGTGTGCCAAAGCCCCCCTGCCCTCTGACGGCCCCTTCACCACTCAAAAAAAACTCCCACCCCAGAGGTGGCTTCTACATCCTGCCCAAACCCAACCCACCACCATTGAGAGAAGCACAGTGATCCAACATAGGCTTCCCAAGGTGATCTGTCTTTTACAGAAGTAAATGGCCTCGTTGTTCTCTAGAGAGCAGCTAGTGGGTTTGAACCGCCAACCTTGCAATTAACAGCCTAACACTTAGCCTATAGCGCCATCAGGGCTCCTTTGTGTCCTGTTCCACAAACACACATCCCAAGCCTGAGGCCCAACCCTAGCCAACAAAAGGCTCCAGAAACCACTCAGCATTGCGGGCACACTGCCACCCTCTAGCCATCCCAAGCTGACTCTGGGCCCGCTTCCCACTCCCCATGGCAAGGGCCTGGACCCCAGTCTCTTGGGCTGTGCCAAAGAGGCTCTTGGTGACCCCAGCATGGAGGCCCTGAGGGGCAACATTGGCCTGAGCCCTCTCTCCTCAGCCCCCAACCGTCAGCCTCAGATGGACACCCATGGCTCAGTGGCAGCTGGCTGGAGAAGAACACTGTCTCTGGTCTGACAGGACCTGCTGAGCCAGAGCACAGGCCTGAGAGCCTCTGCTGCCAATGTGCCCAGAGGGACAGAGAAGCAACAGACAACACGGAGGCGCCCCATTGCATGGGGTAGCCCATGTCCATGTCAAAAAAACCACCAGTGAGGAGGCTCGGGGAGCCCCTGTCCGCCTGCAAGGTTTCTCAGGGCCCCTCAGGCTCCACATGACAGAAACAGAAAGCGTTCCTCAGAACTTACTTGATTCCCAGAGCAAATCCTTGAGTGACTTCACCAGCATTGGGTCCGAGGAAGTGCAGGCCGAGCACCAGCTGGGGGGGCTCCCGAAGACACACCATCTGAAAGCACAAGGCGCCTCAGCCCCAGTCCCAGCAGAAACACAGTGGCCCTCCTCCCATGTGATGCAGAGGGCCCTGCCCACACCAGCTGGGGGGGCGGGGGGCAGCCACACCACTCAAAGCCCACTCCACCCATGGGGACACCCACCTTTATGTAACACTGGGCCGCCTCTCGCGCAGGGACCGTGAATTCCAGTGGTTTATAATGCGAGTGATAGACCTGGAGAACAAGATGCATCGGCAGGTGGGTGTCTGGCTTCCCACCGTCGCACTCCCGGCTAGCGGATGGAACAAGTGAGAGGGGAAAGAGAGGCTGGGCCTCCAGGCTGTGGTTGGGGTGAGCTGTGGAGGCTGCTGAGTGACAAAGGGCGACCGAGTTCCCTGCCAGATGTCTGTGCGACAAAACCCGCCCTGGGTCAGCCTTGGTGGGGTAGGCCTGAAGGTCAGGAGCCCTTTGCCAGCTTCCATCCACCTGCCCAAATCTCAGAGTGGCAGCCAGACACCCACAGGGCAACTGTGGGGGGCTGAGCCTGGCAGGACCTTGGGGGAGGGCAGGCATGAGCTGGCAGGCAGCGGCGAAACCTCCCTTGGGCCACCCAGCCCTTATTTGGGCCTGGAGGGGAGGGAGGGAGGCCAGCCCACACCGGAGCTATCGGACACAAACTTTCAGCACTCGTCCAGGGGCGACAGCAGCGTTGGGGGCTGCGACGGGGTAATAAATGAGCCGGGCCCCTCACATGTGCAGCCCAGGCATTATTAATTAATTGAGCTGCAGAGAATATTGTGCTAACTCAAACACAGAGCGCAAGGAAAACAAACAGAGGGTATTTGGCCATTCAATGTGATAAAACATAAAACAACATTATAAAATGCCCTGAACACATGTCCCAGTGTCCTTGTGATGAATCAAACAAAAACAGCAAATACAGCTCCGTGAGGGAGGCCAGCCCTGTCAGCCGTGTCCGTTGATGGAGAAGCCGGGGGAAGGCAGGAGGGAGGGAGCTTGAGGAAGGGGCAGACCTTGGGTCTCAGTGGCTCACTCCCAAGTGGCACCGGTGCCCCCACTCCCACCAGGTTGGCGGTATGGAGCCTGGTTTCTGTGATGTGCCTCCGAGCTGAGTGGAAGTGGAGACTGAGTAGAGACTGCCAGCATCCACAGTGTGGCACAAGGCCCCCTGGTGTCCCACCAGCCACTGCGAAACTTGCCCCGTTTGCTGGGACAGCCCCATGGAACAGCCTTGTCCAGAAAAACCCTCTTCTTCTGGTTAAGTATGACTGCGGGGCCCTGTAAGGACTGGCAAGATTGTGGGTGAGGACTTGGGGGTCAGGAGTGAGGGGGACATGCCACAGGGGCAGCAGGAAGGTGGAGGTATCCCCTAGGGCAGGGCCAGGCTTGGCCGGACCCTAACAGCTCAGGCGAGGGCAGGAGGGGACTGGACAACCTCCATCGGGATTAGAGTTTGGAAACGGGGTGCAGCCCAAAGAAGTGAGGTGCAGTCAGGAGGAGCAGGGTGAAGGGCAGCTTTCCTAGAAGCAAGAAGGCAGAGGCCCCGATGAGGGACAGAGCCACCACAGCAGCCCTGTCCCCACATCGGCAGTGACAAGTCAGGTCTGCATGTGAGCCACTGCCCTGTACACCCAACAGAGGGCGCTGGTGACTCCACAGCAGGGTAGCCCAACAGTGCTGGACACATTCAGTGTGGCAGGGTGCTGCAGGGGCTGCTGGGGGAGGTAGGTTGAGCCCTCTTCCTGGTCCCTCCTTGGGTATAAACAGGGCAGCCTGGGCCCCTGCTTCATCCCCAAGTCTCAGTGCCACCCCACAGGCTGCCAGAAGCCAAGAAGAGGTGGCTGTCTTGCATTTTTCTCTCCAAAGTCCCTGCTCCAGGACTCCAAGCCTGCCACACCTAGCCATTGGTCTCTTAACAGGGCTCAAGGACACTGCCCTGCCAAGGCTCACAGCAGACAAGCCTGAGGCTGTTCCTGTGGGAAGCTGGGACTCCAAGATCCACCAAGCAGGCCTCTGTCCTGTAGGCGCCCGCTGTGGGGCTTGAATGCAGTGCCCAGGGCTCAGACTTACCTCCACGTGCTCCTGCCCATGGCGAGTGATGGCCTCCTCTTCCGACAGCCCCACGCAGCCATACTCCAGCGGGGTGAAGACTGTTGTGGGCACCTGGAAAGCCAGTCTGTGAGCACACCACTCAGGCCCCCAAGTCAGGAGACCCTCCCCCCGAATATGACATAAAGAGCAATGGCAGCAGCCCAGGACCTCCAACATTATGAGCTAGCCGCCTGAAGGCCCCAGACACACACACACAAACGTCACCATGTTCACATGCATTTGTACATGTACTATGGCACATATCAGTACATTCATACACCTGCATATACACACAAGGTGTACATGTGCGTGCACACATGCAAAGGTATGTACATGGCCACACATAGGTCCACATATATATGTGCAGCCTGCCCATGTATCTGTACATGTATGCCCACCTGCAAACACATACAAGGTATACATATACACATGTTATGTGAAAGCTTCAAAAAATCTGTGGAAAACTTCGTTATCCTTCATTCCTTCCTTTGTGAAGCCCCCTTATACATGTGTGCATGTATACTTGTATGTGTGTACAGGTGCACATATACACACATACACAGATGCTTCAAAAAGAGGATAATGGGATTAGGAATAATGGGATTTTTCCATGAATTTTTTTGAAGAGTTTTCTATACACAGGCACATACATATACAAGGGGGTACTCCCTCCCAAAAAACGGATTTTTGTGTGTATCAAAGTTACCTATTTAAATTTTTTTACAAAACAACCTTATCTCCTTCAAAGTACTCTTCTTAATACTTCTGTCAACCCTGCAATTCCATTCT